CCTCACCTTTTCATCTCCAGAGTAATATATCATATGGTCATCCGACTCAAAATGCCCCATGCCAGTCCATCTCATCTCACCAATGCCTAGTATGCATTCCATTTCTTCCTTAACAATATCTAATTTTTCTACACTCATGGTTCTCACATTCCATGTCCCAATCACCAGTGTCTGTTCCTCTTCCTTTGTATTTCCATACTTGAAAAATCAACCTCCTTTGCCTTTTCTGTTATCTAAATGTTTCTGTTGTACATAGGGTTTTCAGAGGCCTGCTTTTTCAGAAGTGGATGGCCAATCCTTCTTCCTAACCGGTCTTAATGTGAATGTTCAGATTTAGAGAAGTATCAGACAGACCAGCAAGTTAAAGGTATATCTGCAATAAGGGATAGTTGTAATAGCTTCATATTTGTAATTTCTTTGTTTGGTATCATGCCTCTTAGAATGAGTATTTTTGTTTGCAATTATTTGATGATTTTCTCTTGATAATGTTTTGATACTTTTAATTTCATACTATTATAGAATTTAAATTTTTGTGTGATTTAAACAATTTGACATTTATTGTGACTTATTTTATGGCTCGTCACAAAGCCTGAATATTCCATGTACACTTATAAAGAATGTGTGGTTTGCAATGTTTAGTGTAATCTTTGTAAGTGAAAGTTAAGCTGGTTGATAATGTTGCTTAAGCATTTTGTATCCTTATGGATTCTTTGTCTACTTCTTTCATTCAGCACTTGGGAATTACTGTTTTATTGTGCTTTGGCTTGCATTGTTTTCTATGAGATAACAGCTCTCACTCAGTATTATCAGATTTCCTCTTAATGTAGTCTGTCTTCCCCTCCCGCCTTAGCTACTTTGTAGGATTTCTCCCTTTTATAGCAATGTAGTTATTATGTCTTTACGTGTGAGTTTATTTTTATTTGTTTTATTGCAGTTTTGCTACGTGGGGCATACTGAACTTTTTAGAACTGTGGGTTTATGTTGCTGTTCAGGTGCCGACAGATCAATTGTGCTCATAGTGATGTTGTATGCAGCAGAATGACGCCTGCTTGGCTCTGTGCCGTCCTCGGCGTGTTGCTCTGCTTGAACCCATTGTTGCAGCCACCACGTCAGTCCATCTCACTTAAAAATCCTGTTTTTCCGACTCTCTATTGAGCATGATGCCCTTCTATAGACACTGATCTTCTTGATAACATGTCCAAAGTAGATTGGGAGACACACTCTTGGCATCCTCCTTTCTAAGGAATGTTTTGACTGTATTTCTGTCAAGATAGATTTACCCATTCTTCTGGCAGCCCACAGAGTAGTCAATATTCTTGATCAGTACTATAGAGTTTTTGGCTATTGGTGATGTGTGTACCATCGAGCTGGAACTGACCCATGGCTGACCCTCCAGGGGTTTTTCAGAAACAGTAAATCACACAGAAGGAGATTGTCTGTCCTTCTCCCATGGAGCAGCTAGTGGATTTGAACCATATGTCTTTGGGATTGCAGTATAATTTCTTATTACTAGGCTACCAGAGCTTCCTTTTGGCTATTATATGTCAAATATTCTTACTTTTGTCTTTTTAGTTGTCTGGCTCCAAATATATTATACTTTATTATCTTAGAGCTCCTTGAGGCTATTTAATTTTGTTATTTTTGTTATTGTTCTGCATTGCTATTTGGGTAGTTTCTGTTGCTATTTCTATAAGTTTAGAAATTCCTGACCCTGATAGTCTTTGGTCAGTATCAAAACCTACATGTTAAATTTACCATTTTAAATTTTTTTTTGTTGTTATTCTAAAACTTTTTTTAAAACTAGTTTTAATCTATCAATAGAGACTTTTCTAATTTCCTATCACTATGCATGTTTTACTTCAAATTTTATAATTAAAATATTATCTTGGAGCTTTTCTATACTTTTCCCAACATGTTTTCATTTTAGATCTGTTTCGTTAACTGATATGAATGAAAATTTCCTGGTTTTCCATGTGTGTAATAATTTGTAATTATATTGTGCATTATAGATTCTGTTGTTGTATTATCTTCCATAATGGAATGTTGCATTTTATTTTGGCATTCAGTTCATTATCTTATGGATCAACTTGATTTTAAGCTTCGTTATGGTGGTAAAGCACTGGTCTGTGCATTGCTGTACAGAGGTAACTCATGGCTGCTGTGATGCTGAACACTGTGACACTGATGTGCCAAATGTGATAATGGTTACCCATGGTGGACAGTGTTGGCTGGAGTTCCCCAATTACAACAAGCTTGGAAGCAGGAGTGATGTCCACTTCCGAAATGGTTTGCCTCTAAAATCTATGAACAGTGCTCAGGTCTTTTGTTCATAAGGTCATGATGAGTCGTCTACAACTCAATGGCACCTAACAACAACAACAATAATAACAACATTGTTATTATAAATATTGTCCTTATATTTTAATCTTCCTCTAAAATATAATTGATGCAAAGATTAAGAACTCAACCCAGGCCCTTTAGATTTGGTGTTTGAATCCAGTAGACAGACTAGGTGGTTTGCTAATGAAAAGTCATAGCCTTAAATACCCTAGAGCCATTTTACTATGCACATGAAGTTAAGTGAGAATTGATTTCATGGCAACTAGCTACAACAAGATGAGGCCTTTTGGGGGGGGTCTCAATACCTCCAGTCTCAACTCTGATTGATTGGAACTTAAATAACTCCTGGCACTGTTTGACCTCTACACTTCCATTCAGGTCACAGCTTCCTTCTTTGCCAGCCCATCAAGAATTCTGTTCTGTACATAAATAGCTTAGTATTCACCAGGAACTCAAGCGATCACCTGTTGAGATTTCTGGAGCTTATCTGTGTGCCAACCCCTTTCCTTTGCTTTTTCACCCTGAACTCTGATCCTTTTGCCTTATCTTGGTGGAACTTGCCATCTTTGTTTGGTTACTCCCACCCTCTGCAGCAGCCCTGACTGTGCCCCTACACACAAGACTAGGTTAATTATTGAGGCACCTCTGCTGTTTTTCTCCTCTCAGAGATCACAGTCCAATGATGATGTTGTTCAGCCTCTCAAAAGCAGTTATTTCCTGTAATTTGTCAAGTTGTAGATTTTTATGTAAAGAGTAGTCTTGTAAGGACTTTCCTGTGTCTGGGAGTGGAAGTCCATTGCCACATAATTTTTAATCGTGTGGAGTTTGTTTCAAGAACTGTATGCTCTGTAATGTGAAAAGAACAGAACAAGAAAGATAGCAAACATAAATTATATTCTTCTCTGAGCTGATATTTATATAATGAGTTTGTTTTTGTTCAAGGAAGAATAGTTCTGTCCTGATTGTAGCCTGTTTGATTAATGGAATACACAGTAGTAGTAACACTCCAGTCTGATGAAATCCTATAAAGATAGGAAAACCTTTACAGTCAGGAAAATAATATTCTGTGTTACCTTAGATTTGTAATAAAATTATATATCAAGTACATGATGCCTCAATTTTGGTAAATATTTAATAAATCTGAATTTGGAAATAAAGCTCTACTCAGTGTGCCTGTCTCTATGACTTTATTGTTTTAGACTATAAAGATGAGATTTAATTTCGTGTTCTTATAAAACTTGAAACATACATTATTGAGTATTGTGATTATAGATAAAGCCCATATTAGAAGGCGGAAATGTTTTTGTTTGTGAAAATGTTATTTTTGTTTCAGCAATTATTTAACCTAAGTGAGAATTGTCTCTGTTTGCTCTAATTTCAGAATGCTGAGGCTTGGAACAATCTATCAACATCATATATAAGATTAAAACAGAAGTAAGTATATCAAACAAATATGAAGAATTTTGTTTTCAAATTATGTAAATAACATTTTCTCCTACTCTACGTGAAAACATACCTCGTTCTTTTCTGCCCACATGCATAATTGTGTTACAGTACCTCAATATGCCTTATTGAATTTTAAATTGCTACTTATTTAGATATTTAATATACAATAAGAACTATTACTTAAAAATTTTATTTGATGATGAAAGTTTTGTGTCCTAAATTTTATCAAATGGTGAAAGAAGCATGCTTTTTATTGGTCAAGTCACATAATAAAATCTGTGTTACTGCTTGCTATGCAGGAGAATTAATTGCAAAATGTAAATATGAACATGTCTTCAGGAAGCATAGGCTCAAAAAGAAAACATTTTACCATATTATTGAAAATGTTTTGCAGTATGTACTGATTACCAACTGAAAAACACAAAGGGTAGTAATGACAGTAGATGATACTAGAGAGTGCTTATAATGTGCCAGATACTAATTTAGTCCTGAGAGAGTTTTAGAATGGAGAAAATGTATGCATCTGAATCAGAAATGCTTCTCAAAGAAGGTTGGAGTCAAGTTTGAAGGGGACAGAGGAATATGTTTCAGTCAGCAGGAATAAAGTGTTCAACTTCAGAGTGACAGGAATGAAAGTAGGGTTCTAGGAGGCAGAAAGTTAGGTAGCTCAGTTCTAGAGTACAGTAAGAAAGTCCTGACAGCAGTAGGGTAAGGGAAAAGTAGGTCTGGACCAAATTGCAGAGTGTTCTGGGTATCTAACTAACAAGCTGACATGATCATGTTGGCAGGAGGAAACCAGAGATTTCAGTGGAGTTAACTTCATGTCAAAAGAAGCTCTTTAGGAAATTGTATCTGGTGGCTATGTGAGACAGACTAGAAAGGAAACGAGGCTGGGAAACCAGTTAGGAGACAGCTGTTGTAACAATCCAGGCATGAGATAACAAGAGTGGAAAAAGAAGGGGCAGATGCCAGTTTATAAAGGGACAGTGAGCAGATCTGAATGACCAGCTATAGAAATGGAAAGGGGGGGGGGAAAGAAATGGAAGAAGAATGACAAAAGGACCACTGTTGCTAGGGTTTTAATAAGTTAGTTAAAGGATGCTCATCATATTTCCATTTTACTTGACCTTATTTTTAAGCTTCATTATTCTTGGTGGACTCACACATCGTTAAACCCATGTTACACTGAGATCATGAGCTGCTTCCTCTGGTCTTGGATGACAGGCTCCATAAATAAAGTACTGTTTGTTCTATTCTTCTCCTCAGTAAATAATATTTTCCTCCTGATTGCAGCTGATTGTGTTAAAACTCACTGGAGAGCCTTTGGGTTAAAGTACGGGGTAGAGGAAATCCCCCTCATAGTTGTAGAATGATCTCAGTGAATTTTTCTAGTCACCCTGATAATTCTGCATGTAGGGCGGCCTTTGATACTCTACCTTGTCTTCCAACCCATTAATCTTATGAACTCTTTTCTCTCATAGGGGTTCTTGCACATTATTATTCAGCCTCCTTTAGATGCCTCTTGTCCTCCTGTAGCTCATGAATAGGTTTTTGTGTAAAAGCGAGGTTACAAGGTTGGAGGTAAATCACTCTTTTATTCTTGCCTTTTTACTTTTTCCTTTCTTGGCTGCAGTTCCAGACATAGCTGATTTTTTACTCATGAGATTGTTACTCAGAGGTAAATTATTACTGCTCTTTCAAAAGAGGTCTATCCATGCCTTAAAATGGCCTGTTAAACTATCTCATTTATTCTATTGTTATAGTGAGGTTTTTCACTAACATTCCCTTTTTATTGTGTCATCTCAGTTCCCCTGGGCATCGTGTCTTTACCATTCCCTTGGGAAAGCTTCCTACCTTGGGATATAGATTTCAGAATGTGGTATCTCTTCCACAGTGGGCTTGATTAGTGAATCTGAAAAATGACAGTCATTATTAAGAAACTATACTTATTAAAAAGAAGAATTCAGTACCTCAAAAATGTTTACACTAGGAAATTAATGTTATTGGCTGAGGGAACTTGTAAGGAAGAAAAGGGATACTTCTCTTGGTATGGATTGCTGCATCTTGATTTTCCAATAGTATTATCTCATTCCTACCTCCCATGTAGGTAGGAGGTCTTGACGTCTCAGTCCACCACTCTTAGAGTCAATTGATATTACCTGGGAGGTGATGTGGGAAAGTTACATAGAGAAAGGGGAAGAAAAACCTCATAGAAGCTGTTTATGGCTGAATGTTAAGACATGTTAGAACAAAGTCAGTTTCCTTTCTAGCCATGAAGATGATGGGTTAAGGGATAAATTAATCTGTCTAACAATTTCAGATTATTTAATACAGAGAATAAAACTAAAAATAAATGAATTGCCTCTATAAGAAAAGAGAAAGAAGTTGTTTTGATTTAGATAGCATGGATATTTAGAGATTAATGAAATGATCTGTGTGCTGGGTGATTTGTGGGGGAACCTCTTGATGAGTTGGCCCACTTCAATTACTTCAAGGGATAATTCTTAAAGGAAGAGCCTGTGCCAGCCTAGAAGTTCTACATCACCTTCTAAATCTGCCTCGAAGTCTGGACGGAATGAGGAGCTTGAGGAAACACACACTTAGCAGGGAAGGGAATGGTGGACCTTGTAGTGTTAAATTAGCAAAAATGGATGTTGGGAAGGGTTAAGTAGAAGGTGGGTGAAGAAAGGAAGAGCCCTGGTCAGATGATTTGGCACAGTGGCTGCCACACTGAGCTCATGGATAGCTGCGAGTGTCTGGCTGGTGCGGGACTGGACACAGTATTGTGCTGGTCTTTGTAGGGTTTCTGTGATGTGGAACTTGACTCAGTAACTCCTATCAATAACAACAGAGAATGTATAAGTAAATTTCTCAATAGTGAGCAATTCTTAGATCCTTTCCTTCTTTTTATATTCCTTTTCTTTTCCCCCCCGAAGAAAGAAGATCTTTAGTACTTCTTTTTCTGGTAATGACATTTGTTGGCAAACTCCTAGTTTTTATATATGAGAAGGCTTTATTTTGTACTTACGAGTGGCACGTTTAACTGGCTATAAAACTTAACGTTAGCAAATATTATCGTCCAGCACTTTGAAGGTACTTTTGAAGGTACATTATCTGCTACTAACTTTTCTTCCAGATGGAATATGTGTTGTTGTCTAATTCTCATTCCTTTGTAGAAATAGCTTTTCTGAACTGTAATTTATCTAGGTGGTAATTTATTTCTGTGTTTCTCATGCCTCGCTTTAGAAAAGTATGTTTTATTACAGAACTTAGATTTTTATTCAATTCTGGAAAATGCTGAGTTTCTTTTCTTTTCGAATATACCACTCTACCTATTTCCTGCATTCTTTAACTCTAAAAGGTGTACTTCAGGCTTACCATTTGTTCTTTCCTTTCTTTCGCTCAACTTCTCTTTCACTCTGAAATCTGGATTCTGTGTACATTCCTTATTATTACTGTCTAGTTGTGTATCAGGGTTGTACATTTTTCCATATTTATTCAGCTTATATGCTGAAAGAAGTAAGACTCTGTGAGGAAGAACAGACTGTCAACATTGTAGGCAGATTTGTTAGCAACCTACAATATACAGATGATACAGTCTCACTTGCTAAAAGTATACAAGACTAAAGTTCTTACTGATGAAGATCAAAGACTGCAGCCTTCATAGTGGATTGTTGTGGTGGTTGTTTTTGTTGTTATGTGCTGTTGAGTCACCTGCAACCCTGTGTACAGCAGCTCTGAACCCTGCCCTGTCCTGAGCCAACCCTCATTGCCCCACTCACTGTATCAATTCATCTCATCCAGGGTCTTCCTTTCCTATGTCCCTCCACCCTTCCAGGCATGATGTCCTTCTCCAAGGACCAGGCTCTCCTGGCCACTTACTCAAACTATATGAGATGGAGCTTCAAAATCCTAGCCTCCAATGAGAAACTTGCTTTTCACCCCCTCTAAGACAGAGCTGTTTGTTTTCTTGATGATCCATGGTATGTTCAGGCTATGTTCTTTTCCAGCACCACAATTCGAAGGCATCTATTCTTCTTCTGTAATCCTTAGTCATTGTCTAGCTCTACATCCCAATTTATGCAAAAATTCTTGCAACTGAACCAGTAAGCAAAATCACTGTGGATGAAGTTTTTAAGGATTTTATATTACTTGAAATTACAGTTTTCATGGAAGGAGCAGTAAAGGAATAAGATAACATGTTGCAAAGGGCAAATAAGCAAAAGATCTGTAACAGTCTAAAGAGCAAGGATGTCACTTTGAGGACTAGTGGATGCCTCACCGAAGCCATGATGTTTTCAGTCACCTCATATACATGTGGAAACTGACTGGTGAATAAGGAGGACCAGGAAAGAATTGATGCCTTTGAATGTTGGCATTGGTGAAGGATATTGAATATATATATATAATGAACTGCCGGAAGAATGAACAAATTTGTCTTGGAGGAAGTACAGCCAGAATGCTCCTTAGAAGTGAGGATAGTGAAACTTCATCTAACGATCTTTAGATGTTGCTAGTCCCCAGAGAAGAACATCATACTTGGAAAAGTGGAGGGTTAGCAGAAAAAGCAGAAGACCCTCAATGAGATGCATTGGCCCAGAGGCTTGCAACCATGCATTTAAACAGTGGTTGAGAGGATGGTGCACAGTTAGGCAGTGTTTCGTTCAGTACTACATGGGATTGCTATGAGTTGGAAACAGCAACACCTCGCGACAACAGTAATTGTCTAGTTCACCAATTCTCTGTTAAACTGTGTGAAGTCCAATTTTTGTCAGCCCTTAACTTTGGATTAAATGAGTCTTTCAGTGCCTTTTCCCAGTGATTCTTTTTCACATCTCCTTGATTTACTTCATTTCTGTCAAGATCATATGACAACCATGCTGTTCCACATCATTTCTTGTTCCACATCACTTTCTGCTGAATCGACCTTGAATGGCTGGCTTTTCCTATCAAAGGCTCCAGCGATTTTTGTTCTTGTGCACTTGAGTTGGTTTACTCTGGGTGATACTCTCCAGCCTCTCCCATGTTATTAATATTAGTTATATAGTGTCTTTCAGTCATTGCTTCTGAGTGCTGCATAGTGTTCCATTGTGTCAATGTGCCACTGTTTCTCAGTCTAGTCATTTATTGATGGACATTTGTGCTATTCCCATTTTCTTGCTATTGTGAACAATGATATTTTCCTTTTTTTTCATTCACAATTTTTTGTTTACATACAGTAATTTGTTTACATTGTGTTTGATTCATGTACATTGTGTTTTATGCAACCTTTCATTTACATTGTTCCATACAATTATTCCTGTGTATTTATATCATTAATTTTATTAATCTATTCCTATTATTACCTGTCTTTTGAGTCTCCTTTAAATCTGCTCTATTTCTTCACCTTACTATCTGGCCAGTAAACTCTGCTATCCTAGAAATTTCCACCCTTCCCCTTTTTTCACCCCTTCTCCCCTTTCTCCTTACCATTTTGGGCATTTATACACATCTTATTAGTTACCCTTCTATTTTTACAATAATGGTCTTAATGCTGCATTTGTCTTTATGAGACGGGATTAGTTCACTCAACATCATGCTCTCTTTGGAAGTAGGAGTGGCTTCCATTTCCTAAACAACATCCCTCCAGAAACTCTATGAACTTTGATAAATGTTGATAGTTATAGAAAGGCTTGTTTGTTCATATCACCTCAGTGTTGTCATGCTCAACTCAATGGCACCTGGCAGCAACAACATAGTATTAACATAGTTCAATACTTTCTGCATTTTCTTTTTCTTTTTTTTTTTTTTTTTAATGGACATAAATACAGATCTCTTCTAGTGGGTTGGACAGGTAATGCTTTCCAAATTTCTTGCATTGATAAATGAACATATCCAAGATCCATTTGTTGAAACACCTTATTTGATACTACTGATTCCTGGGCCTCATTTTTTTGTCAATATCTTTAGTGCAACTTGAACTTCTTCCTTTATTACTGTTGATTCTTGATCATATGTCATTTCTTTTAATGGTTCAGTGTCAACCAATTCTTTTTGATATGCTAACTCTTCATATTCCTTTCATCTTCTTTTGGTGCTTTTTCATTTCATATTTTGCCTGTGAAATTCTTGATCTTCTGGCAGTTCTCTGTCAAAGTTCTAACCAGTTGTTTGGGGTTTGGTTTTTTGTTTGTTTGTTTTTTATAACTTTTAGCAGTTTTTTACCTGCATTTGATGTTCATGATATTGTTTGATAATTCCCATATTCTGTTGGATCACCTTTCTTGGGAATGGAAACAAGTATGGATCCCTTCCAGTCAGGTGGCTGTATTTTCTGAAAGACTGTTGAGCACGTCCAGGACAGCATGTTAGTGGAAACATGCCAGTTGGTATTCCATCAATACCCAGGGCCTTATTTTTTGCCAGTGCTTTCAGGACAGCTTGAACTTCATTACCATTGACTCTTGTTCACATGGTACTTCCTGAAATTTTTCAGTGTTAACCAGTTCTTTTTGGTTAGTGGCTGCATATTATTTTCATCTTGATGCTTCCTGGATACTTTAAGATTTTGCCCATAAAACTCTCAGTAGGGCAATGGGAGGCTTCAATTTGTTTTTCAGTTCTTTCAACTTAAGAGATACCAAGTGAGTTCTTCCCTTTTTATTCTCCAATTCCAGTTCTCTGCACATTCCGTAATCTATTATATAACATTTTGTTTTGTCTTCTCTAGCAGTACTCTGAAATCTGTTCAGCTTTTTAACTTTGACATTTCTTCCCTTTGTTTTGGCTTCTTAATGTTCTAGAACAATTTTGAGACTCTCTTCTGACATACATTTTTGTGGTTTTTTTCTTTCTTGCTCCTTTGTCTTTTTGTAATAACCTTTTGCCCTTTTCATGGATGATATCGTTGCAATCCAGCCATAACAGATACTATGATTATCAGATTAAAAATTATCAATATCAGTCCACTAATATATAGATCTGTTTTCCATTTCATTTTATAGATTCATACTTCATTCATTCCTGTTATTAATGAATGTTTAGAGCTGTTTCTCCTAATTTTGAGTGGTGCTATATCAGCAATGAAGGTTCCTCATTGCCTGAAAGCTCTATCCTATCCAGGACATTTAGATGGACCTTCCTTTGAGGAGGCAGCTCTTTCTCCATTGAATTTTGAGTACCTTTCAAGCTTCTGGCACTATGTCAGAAAATGTTTTGGTGCTGTTCATTGTGTTTTGAAGAGCTCATTATTTCCAAAGTAGATGGCCAATTCTGCTTTCTACTCTGTCGTAGTCGAAAGTTCTACTGAAATTTGTCCATGTGGGTGACCCAGTTGGAGTTTGGCCACTGAAATTGTTTCCAGAATCACATAAAAATGCAAACTACCACAGCACATCAAACTGACAGGCGAGTTGTGCCCATTTGTAGTGTCGTCACGTATCATCATGTCATAACCTACTCACTGCTGTCCCTCCAGCAGGTTTTCAGAGTTAGTAAATCATACATGAGGCCATCATCCATCTTTCCCACTCATTTATATTTATTGTTGTTTTTATGTGCAGTCTAGTAAAAACCAGCTCAGAGCTGACCTTGTGGAAGGTTTCTAGAGACACCAAATCACACAGGAGGAGATTGTCCATCCTTCTTCAGTGAGCAATTCAAGTTGTGTGCTTTTAGCACAGCTTACCGCTCGGTCACCAGAGCTCCCTCATTTATAGTAGTAATTGTTGTTGTTCTGTGCTGTCGAGTCAACTATGTCTCATGGTGGCTCTGTGAACGACTCTGAACCTTCCCAGTCCTGAGCCAAGTGCGCCATCCCTGACACACCTTATCCCATTGCCACAATCACTGTGTCAATCTATCCATCTCATTCAGCAGCTTCCTCTCCTGTACTGACCTTTCACCATTGCAAGCATGATGTCATTCTCCAAGGACTGATTCCTCCTGGCAACGTACCCAAATATGTGACACTGAGTTTCAGAATCCCTACTTCCAAGTAGTAATCTGGTTTTACTCTCTTCAGGGATAAGAAAGAATCGTGAAGATGCCATTAATGTGATGAAACAAAATGTATATGAATGGAAAATCAGTTTGCACTTTAATCTTTAACTCTGATCACCAAAGTTTGAAATAAAACTCTAGAACTTTATAAAAAAACAACAACAAAACACCCCAAAAAACCTCTGTTTTGATACTTGGAGTCATTCCCATTCAGAATTGACTCAGCAGCTATCATGTTTTATCTCTGATGTCTTTACTACTGCCGTGCTATTACTTATTTTCTCGTAGTTCTATACTTTGTGTTATTTGATCACTTTGATTCAAAATCATTCTGTTCTTATTTTATACTGTCAAGTCAGAACCAACCCTCCAGTGGGTTTTCAGAGGCAGTTAATCGCACAGGAGGAGATTTGCCAGTCCATCTGAATAGCAGCTGGTGGATTCTAACTATGTGCCTTTGAGATTAGAGCACAGCTTCAGTTTAGAGCTTGATTTTCAAGGATCTATCACTTGGGGTCATATTGGTAATCTGGTAGACCTGGTTGCAGAGCCAGTAGTAGGTAACTTCCTCAGCTGAGTTTGTATCTGTGCACTTCAGCTTCTTTAGAACCATAGTGTTTTAAAAACACGTAGGGCTACGCAGCTGGTTTATAGTAGCTTCTGTTCAACCACCTTTCACAATGGAAGGAGAATCGGACTCCCCAGCCTCTAAAGTTGCTTCCATACTTCACTTTCTTGGAAGGACTGCTTTCATCCACTTGTTCACAGAAGCTACTCCAGATCACCCGGGCTTGCTTGACCTCAGCGATGAAGACACTCTTACTTCCTTTAGTTCTGTCTGAAGTTTCTCAGCCCTAGAAATCCTGCTTTTTTAACCCATTTTCTCTTACATAACTTGGCTTAGAGGGAGTTCATGAAAAAAATTCACTTTGCCACTGTGGACAAGAAACTAAATTTATCAGCTTTCAACTAGTGTTTTTTTACACATATGTTGTTATTTCTTAAAAATAGTATTGTGATAGTAATCTTTTATGCTAGCATATTAATTGGATATTTTCTAATTTATTTCTATCTTTTTATGAAATATTTTTGTTTCAAATTTTTCACTATTAAAATAATAATTATAAATCTTTTAAGATGTGTTCTGGATTTTTTTTAGTTTAAAAATGATGTTTTACCAAATTTACTTGCCACATAATATTTTCATATAACTTTCTCTATTCAGTGTAATCATTGATGTCTTGCAAAAAAATAAATAGTATATCTGCTTTGTTAATTTCTTGAGTACTTGATTATTCTTTTTACTTTATGAAACATCTTTGAATCTTACTTATTTCTAGTGACCAATTCAGGATTGCTGGGCAGTGCACAATAACGTCTTACACATTTAATTCTGGCTTATTTTAAGAAACAGAGCTTATTATTTTACTCTGTTTAAAATTTTACCTTTAACAGAGTGATGGCTTTTAGAACTTTACAAGAAGCTCTTAAGTGCAACTATGAACACTGGCAGATCTGGGAAAACTACATCCTCACCAGCACAGATATCGGGGAGTTCTCAGAAGCCATTAAAGCGTACCACCGGCTCCTGGACTTACGGGACAAATACAAAGACGTTCAGGTGAGATTATATACTTTGCTGTTTTACTTTGTGTTTGGGATTAATATTTGGCTCTTTTACATGAATTATGTCCTTGAGTATACACAGAATTTTCATAAATCTATGAAATATGAGTGAATTTTCTCTGTTGGTATTTGTGCGTTTATTATCTCTGGTGTTTGATGTCACAGGTGTTTGTGCAGTAATAATCTAACAGTGACTTGATTGTAAAGTGAAAATGTAGTCATATCCATATAACCAGCTCACAAAAGAATGTTTTTTTTATTAGTTTGAGAGGCTCCCAGTGTTGTTTGTAAATTATTATTAAGTGCCTTCACTTCCCTTCTGACTTGTATTGACCTCACGTACAGCAGAAGGAAATAGTCGCTAGTGCATCACAGTCATTGTTAGGGTCCTTCAAGTTGACTGTGCCTCAAGTGACCCTGTGAACAGCAGATCTGAACCTTGCTATACCTGTGCCATCCTCAGCTCAATCCTTTATTTATTCACTCATTGAACAATTTATTCCATACTTTAGAAATGAAAACTAGCATTTTCTTTGCCATTTTTAAAGAAGTAATCTTCTTTGTGAGCCAAAGTCTACTCTAATGGTGCTAATATATTACCAAAACATACTGTATTTTATACTGTTTGTCATCCAGTTGTTGTTGTTGTTGTTGTTATGTACTGTCAATTCGAGTATGACTCATGGTGACTCTACAAACAACAGATCTGAATCCTGTCCTATCTTGTGTCAACCTCACATTCTTTGATATACTCAAGCCCATTGCTGCAGTCACTATATCATCCAGTTGTTAGGTGCCGTTGAGTCAAGTACGACTCATAGCGACCCTATGAACAAAAGATCTGAACCCTGTTCTATCCTGTTTGATTCCAAGATCATCCATCCTCACACTTCCTAACTGCAGTCACTATGTCAATCCACCTGGTTGAGTGTCTTCTTCACCAACCCTCCACCCTTCCCAGCACCATGTCCTTCTCCAAAGAATAGTCCCTCCTAGCAACGCATCCAAAGTATGTGAGGCAACGCCTCATCATTCTTGCCTCCAAAGAACAATTAGGCTGCACCCTCTCCAAGACATAACTATTTGTTTTCTTGGGAGTCCATGTAGTGTTCAGTGCTCTTCTCAACACCATAGGTCAAAAGCATCAATTCTTTTTCTGTCATCCTTATTCATTGTCCAACTCTCAGATCTGTAGCAAGTAATTGGAAAGACTTTGACCTGAATCACACACACCTTAGTAGGTCTAATAGGAGTAGTAGGATATCACTGTTCCTCAATAATTTAGAAAGATCCCTAACTGCAGATTTTCCCATTGCAATGTGTCTCCTTATTTCCTGACTGCTGGTACCAAGAGTGATAATTGTGGATCCAAGTAAGATGAAGCTGTTAACAGTTTGTCTCCTCTCCATCCATCATGACACTGCCTATTGGTCCAGTGGTAAGAATCATTCTTTTCCTGATATTGAGATGCAATCCATCATCCAGTAGGGTTAAATATATATGACCTTTTGTGCTTGCTTTTAGTTGAAGGTGTTATAAAGATAATTATATGCTCGAGTTCATGGATTACAAAACCAGGAGCTAGAATACTTAGCGCTTTATTAGTAGCAGTCAGTGTAACTCCCTGCTGATCTCTGGTGGAGCAGTCCATAGGGGTTTAATCCACTAGGCTCTGCAGGAGAAAGATGGGCAACCTCCACCTATACAGTTTATGTCTCAGAAAACCCACTAGAGTGTCAACTGAGAGTTGGTTCTCACTTGATAGCAATGAGTTAGAGATTTTTTTAGTGTGTTATTTATTGATCCAGAGCAACCATATAGGACGAAATAGAACTGCTCCATAGGGTTTCTGAGGCTATAAATCTTATTAGGAACAAACTATCTCATTATTTCCTGTATAGTGGCTAGTGGGTTTGAACTGCCAACCTTTTAGTTAACTAACACTGTTCTTAACCTAGTGTCCCACCAGGGCTCTAGTAATCAATATATGCTTTTTAAAATCCTGAATTTTAAATTATCACAAAACAAATAGTATCTTACATAGGGTAATACCTCTCCCTACTCTGCCCTTTAAATTTTTTATTTCATCTATTCCAAAATTTAACTTAGCTGAGTCTCCTTTGAGTCTAAGCACTCGACCTGGATGCTTGATTTTGAAAACTAAGACATGTAAATAATCAAATTCCTTTAAAGCTCATGTTCTGGGCCATTCACTTGAAAGATCTCTGTCTTCAAGTAGAATCATATGTTCACTTTTAAGAACTATGTTGACTCTGCTTAGTATGCATATATGTTTTGTGTATATATTCTAAACAATATGCATTGATCGTCATAGAAATAAACAACTTAAATTGTATAGTATAACTGTCAGTTTAAATGTAGATGGCATTGGAGAGTTTTTACAAAGAGGATAGTGTTGTTAATGCCATTGAGTCAACTCCAACTGTGTGAATTATGGATGTGAGCCCTGACCTATCCTTTACCATCCTGACCGTGCCCACCATTGCAGTCTCTGTGTCGATCCATCTCATTGAGTCATTGTGCCAGTCCACCTTCTTCCCTGGCCCTCCACTTTTCCAAGCTTGATGTCCTTATCCAAGGACTGGCCCCTCCCACAACATGCTAAAGTATGTGAGATGAAGTTTGACTATCCTTGTCTCCAAACGTACCCTGGCTGCACCTTTCCCGAGACTTCCCTTGTCTTTTTGGCAGTCAGTGGGATATCTGGCACTCTTCTGCAAAACAGTAACTCAAAGACATCAATGCTTCTGTCATTTTTATTCATTGTTCAACTTTCAGCTGTAGAGTAAGTGATTAAAGTGATTATAGTTTGAATCAGATGCACCTTAGTCTTCAAACTGACATCATTGCTCTTTAGCATTTTGGAGAGGTCTATGACAGCAGAATTTCCCAGTACAATATGTCTTTTAGTTTCCTGGCTGCTGGTGCCAAGGATATTGATTGTGGATCCAAGCAAGATTAAATCATTGACAATTCCTATCAGTTCTCCATCTATCATGGTGTGCCTCTTGACATGGTGGTGAGGGTTTTTGTTTTCTTGATGTTGAGAGTAATCTGTATTGAAGGCTGTGTTGTTGTTAACTGTTACGTGCCAACGAGTCACTTGTGACTCACAGTAGCTCTGAACCCTGCCCTATCCTGAGCCAGTCTCACTGCCTCTAACATGCCTACCTCTATTACCATGTCAATCCAACACATCCAGGGTCTTCCTCTCATAAACTATCTTTCCAAGCATAATGTCCTATTCAAAGAATTTGTCTCACCTGGCAACATGCCCAAAGATGTGAGATGAAGCCTCAAAATCCTTGCCTCCAAGTAGCAACTTGGTTTCACGCTCTCTGGGACAGACCTGTTTATTTTCTTGGCAGTTAATGGTATGTTCAATACTGTTCTTTAGCACCGCAACTCAGAGGCATCAATTCTTCTGTCATCTTCATTGTCCAGTTCTCTGATGCATAGGAAAAAATTGCAAAAGTCTATGGCCTGGATCAGGTGCACCTTAGTCTCTAGACTGACTACTCCTTCCTGGATCAAGTATAGGTTTCACATGAGCACAGTCAGGTGTTCTGAGATTCCCATTCTTCTCAAGGTTAACCACAATTTGTTGTGATCCACAGTCAAATGCTTTTGCACACATAGAAATTTCTCTGGTACTCTGCTTTTGACCAAGATCCATCTGATATTGGCTATGATAGCTCTAGTGCCACGACCTCTTCTAAACCCAGCTTGTATATCTGGTAGTTCTCTATCAGTGTTCTTTTTAGATGATCGTCAGCAAGGTTTTGCTTGCGTGTGATCTCAGTGATAATTGTTCGATAATTTCTACTCTTTCAGATCACCTTTTTTGGGGGAATTGGAATAAATGTAGAACTCTTCGGTCAGTTGAACAGGTATTTGTCCTCCAGATTTCTTGGCACACAGCCTGGTGAACACATCCAGGGCAACATCTATTTGGTGAAATGTATCAATTGGTATGCCATCAATTCCAGGGAACTTGGTTTCTGCCAATTCCTTAACAGAAGCTTGAACTTCCTCCTTCACATTACCATTGCCTCTTAGTCATATGTTACTTTGTGAAATTCTTCTGTATGAGCCAGTTCTTTTTGGTACACTCTGTAAACTCTTTTCATCCTCTTCTGCTTCTTGGATTATTCACTATTCTGCCCATGCCATCCTTAAGTATTGCAACTCAGGGCTTGAGTTTCTCTCGATTGAAGGCTGTAGTCTGATTTTCTGCAGCAAGAAAGAGATCATAAAAGGCCTAGCAAATCTATTTGTGTAATTCCTTGTTTCTCCCATTCTCAGATCTTTCTCTTCTGCATTTACCCACTTGGCAACAGGTATTGATGACACTCAGGATAGTTTACAATATGATGCTGAACCTGTGCTCATACCATTAGGTAAGGAAGTATTTCCTTACCATTAGGCCATAAGAGCTCCCTTAAAAAGGGATTATTGTTGTTGTTACGGGCTATCAAGTCGCTTACAACTCATAGCGACCCTGTATACAACAGCCCTAAACCCTGCTCTATCCTATGCCAGTCTCCTTATCTCTGACATGCTTACCCCCATTGCCACAGTAACTGAAACAATCCATCTCATCAAGGGTCTTCCTCTCTTGAATTGTCCCTCTACGCTCCCAAGCATGATGGCGCCCTTTCCAAGTACTGGTTCCTCCTTGTAACATAATCTACAGTATGTCAGATGAAGCTTCAGAATCCTTGCCTCCAAGGAGTAGCCTGGTTTCACCTTCTGTAGGATGAACTTGTTTGTTCTCCTAGCAGTCCATGGTATATTCAATACTCTTCTCAGCCACCGCAGCTCAAAGGCATCCATTCTTCTATCATCCCTAGTCCTTGAATAAATATTGGACCAAATAATGGTTTTATTCCAAATAATTATTCAGTTCTCAGTTGATTAACGTAAGTCTGAAATAAAAATATATTGGCCTTGAGTTTTTATATGAAGGAAACA